GACACACATGTTCATTCACACACATACACATACACATGCACACACACAACTCCACGCTCATGCACATATATGCACAGATATACAGACACACATGTTCCTGAACATCCATGCACATCCATGCATGCGCACATGCCTACATATGCATGCACACATGCCTACATATGCATGCACACGCACATGAACCACACACCAGTGCTCTGAGCAGGTGTGGGTGACATATGTTTCTGACCTCTGCCCGTTTCTAATAAGGGTCTGTGCAGAGGTCGGCTTTGCAAAACCCCAAGTTACAAACACTGCCTTTGTTTTCCTTTGGCCAGTATAAAGGAATAAAAGTGAAAGGTAAAAGAAAAATTATACTTCTCAGTTGTACCTTTTCTAGGAAGAATGTCAAGGACAGCTGCTGCACAGTAGGCAGAATACTTGGTACCACTGCTGGCCTCTGAATCAGGAAATCTCAGCTGGAGCCCCTTGGATGTTTGCTAACAGTGAGTGCTTCCAGGTGAGGTTGTTGTGGTTAGGTGCCATAGAGTCAGTTCTGACTCATAGTGACCCTGTACAACAGAGTAAATCACTGCCTGGTCCTGCACCAGCCTCACAAGCCTTGCCATGCTACAGCTCATCCTGGCGATCACCATGTCCATCCATCTCACTGAGGGTCTTCCCCTTTTTTGCTGACCCTCTATTTTCTCAGGCCTGATGTTCTCCTGAGAATGGTCCCTTCTGACGACACCCAAAGTACAAGAGATGAAGTCTGGCCACTCTCCCTTCTGAGGCTCATTCCAGCTGTAGTTACCCCAACACACATTTGTTCATCCTTCTGGCTGGCCATGGCATTTTCAGTACTTTTTTGGCAACACCACAATTCAAATGCATATGAGACTATTGAAAATAACCTGGCCTGGGTCAAGTGCACCTTGGTCCTAAAAGTGATAACTTGGCACTGTAACATTTTAAAGACGTCTTTTTTCCAGCAGATTTTCCCACTGCCACACTTAGTTTGATTTCTTGACTGCTGCTTCCAAGGTCATTGAATATAGATTAAATTAAAATGAAATCCTTGACAACTTCAATTTTTTTCTCCATTTATTATGATATTACTTCATGATCCACCTGTGAGGATTTTTGTTTTCTTTATGTTGAGGTTTAATCCATACTGAAAGCTGTAGTCTTTGACCTTTACCAGTAAGTGCTTCAAGTCACCTTCACTTTCAGCAAGGAAGGTTGTGATGTCTGCACATCACAGGTTAACAAGTGTTCCTCTAACCCTGATGATGCATTCTTCTCCATATAGTCCAGCTTCTTGGTTTATTTATTTAGTATACAGATTGAATAAATATGATGAACAGATATAATCTTGATGCACATCTTTCTTGACTTTAAACCACGCAGTATTCCCTTACTCTATTTGATTTGCCTCCTAGTCTATGTACAGGTTCCTCCTGAGCACAATGAAGTGTTCTGTAATCCCCATTCTTTGCCATGTTATCCAAAATGTGTTATGATCCACATAGTATAATGCCTTTGTACAGTTAATAGAACACAGGTAAAAATGAGGTATTCTGTGCTTTCAGCCAAGATCCATTTGACATCAGCAATGATATCCCTTGTTCCATGTCCTCTTCTGATTCCATCTTGAATTTCTGCCAGTTCCCTCTTGATATATTGCTGCCACCATTTTTGAATTATTTTTATTCTAGATAAGGTATTTTACAGAATTATTGGACCAAAAGACTTTATCTAAGATGAACAGTGTTTCATAAACAATTGACACAACATTTTCACCCCAGTGGCACGCAAGGTCAGCCTTTGCAGCACAGAGATGGTACCAGTGTCATGCTATCTGTTGCTGTGCGCTGCTTGCACTGGGTTCTTGGTCATATTGTGTACCATCTCATCAATTCTGACTCCCGGTGGCCGGAAGTTATAGATGAGAACTGGCCCTTAGGGTTTTCTGGGCTGTAATCTGGTGGCGCAGTGCCTAAGGCACTTGACTGCTAACCAGAAGGCTGGTGGTTCAAACCCACCAGCCACTCCTCGGAAGGGAGGTTGGGCAATCTACTTCCATAGTGATAGTGCCTCAGAAACCCAAGGAGGGGTCGCTATGAGTCGGATCTGACTTGATGGCAGTGGGTGGGTAATCTTTATGGGAGCAGATTGCCATGTCTGTTTTGTGTACAGATTTTCTGGGTGGGTTCGAACCATCAACCTTTTTGTTATCAGCTGAGCATTTAACCATTGTCCCAGCAGGGCTCCTTGTATAATAGTGTGGCCGATCTGTGCTGAGCCCCAGCTCACTGGCCTTCATCTCAAGCCTGAGAAGCTCATCAACACCTATTAGCACTGACCTCTTGGGGAACCCTCACTCAAACTACGCTCAGCATGATGATCAGACACATCATCTCTAAAAATGATTTTCAAATCTCAGTAAGAAGAGAGACTTGAGTAAGGACATGTAACACATAGGAGAGATAGTCATTGGCCACCATTGTCATCATATGAGTACTGTGACAGGAGCAACAGGGAATCTGATTAGCACACAGGACCAAGTTCAGATCACAGGTTGTAGGGGCAGATAGGTAACTGTGTTCAGCCTTCTGCATGGGGGTGAGTGGGGTAGCAGTAGAAGAATAGGGCAAGGAAGTGTGAATGAACACAACACAAAATCACAGAGGCTTTAAGATCTGCACCACTGGGTTCTAAAATAAAAAGTGTGCAGGACCTAAAAGATAGCATTTTACAGCTGCTAGTGGGTCTGACTCGACAGCACATAACAACATCAACAACAGTGGCATCATCAGGTGCTTTGGTGGCATAGTGCCTAAGGCATCTGATTGCCAACCAGAAGGCTGATGGATTGGGCAATCTACTTCCAGTGATACCACCTTGGAAACCCAAGGAAGGGTTGCTATGAGTCAGATCAAACTTGACAGCAGTGAGTTTGTTGTTTTTTTGTTTTTGTTTTTGGGTTTCATCATCAGGAGCTCTGGTGGTGTTGTAGTTAACAGTTTTGAGTGCTAATCAAAAGGTTTACAATTTGAACCCACTAGCCACTTTGCAGAAGAAAGACAAGGGAGTCTGCTTCCATAAAGATTTACAGTCTTGGAAACCCTACAAAGTTGCTATGAGTTGGAACTGATGCAATGGCAGTGCATTTGGTTTTGATGAATGACATCATCATTGAATACCTGCAAATTCCCTTTATGGACTTGACTTATTGAGTTGATAAGTTCCATGGTGGTCCTACAACAAGAAGGACCAGCTTCATACTCCAATGGAGAGGCACTTACTTGTGTCCAGACTCATGGGCGATGGTGAAGGCCAGCCCCAGCCCTGTGTCTTCATTAATCGTACAGCTCCGGTACTTGCTACACATTCCACTTATCGGTGCAAACCCTATAGGGCAGAATGATCAAAAGAACAAAAGGAAAATATAACTGTCTGCTTATTTTCCCTCTCTGAGAGCAACTGGGTTTCCATCTTCACCTGGGGAAACAAGAGAGAGGAACTTGGACAACCATGTAAAGGGCCCATAATAATGTGGGAGAAAGGGGTCTACCCCCTAGAGCCTATGGGACTCTGCCACATTGGAGGCAGTGTATGGTTTCATGTAATTCATATGTTACAGGCTGTAAATGGGCAAATAGAAGAGAGGATTTGCTTCAGATGGAGGCAGATTTCTGTTTTTCTCTGTAACCATTGCTGTTCTCAAAATCAAACAAACCAAATCAGGTGCTGTTGAGTCAATTCTGACTCATGGAGACACCACATGTCACACAGTGGAACTGCTCCATACAGTTTCCAGTGGCTGTGATCTTTTGAATGTAGATTACCTCCTCTGAGGTGTCTCTGGATAGATTCGAACTCTCAACCTTTTGGTTAGTGGCATAGCACTTAACAGTTTGTACCACCTCCCATATCAAGAGCCCGAGTGAAAACCGGTGTAGAGAATGGACTGTTGTCCAATGTGTGTTGTTCGGGACTGTTGAGTCAGTTCCAACTCATAGTGATACCATGTAAAACAGAACAAAACACTGCCTGGGCCGTCACCATCCTCACAATCATTGCTATGTTTCAGCCTCTATTAAACGGGGTCCTACCAGAAAGTTATCTAACAAAGGCCCTACCTCCCCAGGTTCCTGGGGGGAAATCAAGAGTTAGAAAGATTGTCCAATAGAGGCCCTGGTCAGTAGTACACTGTGTGCTATGCTGACCTTCTGGAAAAATATCAAAGGGCTGCCTCCAAGACATACCTAGCCCATCAACATCCAAAGTTGTTACTAAAATTTAAATATTTATGGAGAAATGGAAAACTGGGAATATCATATTGTGATAGCATCACTACAAATATTAATAAGTGTATTATTTCTGCCCCCATTCTTACTAATGGAAGAAGAATATGGAGTAATCATTTATTGAGTTAGAGGAAAACAGATGGGGCTTCTTAAATCCATGAGTGTGGGACTTTTCCTTGCTCAATAATCCCAATTGATGGATAAATACACACTTTTATATTTGGTAAAGGTTTACATATGGCAGCAAGTCCATTCTTTACAACTGTGCTCGATATGGCTACCACTTGTGAACATGAAATGTGGTCAACAATACTCAATACCTTACTCTGCAGGAGTTGAACAAAACACTCATGTTCCTCTCACCCTAGTGAAAGCTCTCACCCAAAGTATCACAGGGTTCATTCTTCCAGGAACATATGTCCAGTCCGGTAAGTAAGATGGCGTGGTCATGGTGAGCTCCGTCTGTCCCCATCAATCCAGACTGCCACTGGCAGAAGCTACTTAAGGTGTGGTCAGCGTGGTGACTTATCGTAAGCCCTGGCTATGCAAGAGACCAAGATACCCATGACAATGGAAAGAAAACATGTTACAATGCAATTGTCATTAGCGTTTTCAGCACAGCAAATTATCATCAGCTTTGATTTCAAATACACAGATCATGCTGGATGGCAAAAATCAATTTAAAATCCAAAACTGAGTGCAATACAAAACCTGTGTGAGTTCCATGTAGTTCTGCATAAAATCAATGGGTATTGATGAGGCTGACCAGATATGCTTAGATAAATTGCGTAAACATATTGAGCTCAGAGAAAATTGATGACTTTTGTACATGTCTTTTTTTTTTCTTTTTGGCCTTCAAAATCTTTGAAAATATTTTCCAAAATTGCATAAAGCAATGTACTCATTTAGATATGATTTTGTACATATATGTACATAAACCAAATCAAACCCACTGCCCTGGAGTCAATTCCGACTCACAGCGCCCCTAGAGGACAGGGTAGAACTGCCTAACAGGGTTTCCAAGGCTGTCAATCTTTATGGAAGCAGACTGCCTCATCTTTCTCCTGCAGAGCAGCTGGTGGGTTTGAACCTGTAAAGCAGCCAAATGCTTTAACCACTCTACCACCAGAGCTCCTTACACACACATAAGCACACTTGAACCGTGATATATTCATTTCATAACCAAGATGGGTTAATGGACGTTTCCAGTGTATAACCATTTTAACGTTTAGTGCTGCAGAGTGAAATGAAGTAACTTTCCTCAAGAGGCAACATGCTTACAAGAAGAGACATGCTAACTGGCAAAGCTGTATGTGTTTAAAAAAACAGACTGAAACTAGAAAGACACTGTATGGAAGACACTCAGCTTTGTTCATATTTACCAAGTTCTAACTGAGCAGCTGGAAGCTCTGGTGACGGAGTGCGTAAGGCACTTGACTGTTAATCAGAAGGTCAGTGGCTCAAACCCACCAGCCACTTCATGGAAGGAAGATGGGGTGATCTACCTCTGTAAAGATTTACAGCCTTGGAAACCCAATGGGGGTCACTATGAGTTGGAAAGAACTAGATGACAGGGAGCTTGGAGTTTTTAAGAGTTCTGGTAGCACAGTGCCTAAGGCACGTGGCTGCTAACTAGAAGGTTGGTGGTTCAAACCCACCAGCCACTCCATGGAAGGCAGGCTGGGCAGTCTACTTGTGTAAAGATTTACAGCCTGGAAAACCTAATGGGAGTCACTATGAGTTAGAATAAACCGGATGGCAGTGGGCAGTGAGTTTGGTTTTGGTTTGGAATAGAGGACCTGTGAATATTGGAATGAGGGATCAAAGATTTGAAGAGTCTGGAGCAGAGGTAATGTCCTGAAGGGCAGGTCACTATGAGCTCTATCTACAGGGATGCTGTTTACCTCTGGACGGTCAGGGAGAACCAAGTAAAGTACTTTGACTTGAAGACCCCTGTTTGTCTCCAGCTTGCAAGACTAGAGTGTTGCGTTAAAATGTTGGCCTCCCAGGCTGAATGTGTCTCCTTTTGCCTTTTCAGAGAGTCACCTATGTCCAAGCGCAATGCTGCCCAGAAACACTGGGTGATTTCCAGGAAAACGGCATTAATTAAAGTTAACACAGGTGTATGATCAAACGATAACCTTGCTCATTCTTTGCAGCTTGGATGAATTCCAAGGTGAAAACGCTTTAATACAAGGAATAATTAACCTGTCACCTGAGAAGCCCATTCAGTGCCACCCCCACCCCCAACCGCACACAAAAGACAATGAACTCAGATCTTTCCTGACTATTCAGGCTGGAAATAGCCCTGCCCAAGCAGGCTCCCACCCTGCACAGGAAAAGGGTAGCATCCCAAGACTTTACAGTCTGAAGGGGGCTCTAATTCTGTTTCTATAATGTTGATTGTATAAACAAGAAAACTATGGCTGAGACCTCTTCAGCATCATAGCCAAGACACCAGCCTCCACTAACTGGGAATCAAACCCAAATGTCCCTCATGGAAGGCAAGAATGCAATCACTGAATGGCCAAGGTTTCCAAAAAGGGGGTCTGGAATGCAGACTAAGGGGGATGATTTGATTTTCTGCTGCCAAGATTCAGCATAATTTGGATTTCTGTCTGCAGTGAGACGAATGAGCTCAGTGCTCCAGAACCTCTTTTAAAATTCAGTCTAAGAACAGAGGTGGTGGGGGGCAGTGTAATCACACTTAAGAAGTAAGACATGAGAAGTAGGACAGGCCGGCAATACAGTGGCACACACCACAGTTCAATTTCTAGGGGAGGGGGGATTAGTCTTTTTGCTGCTGCTGCTGCTGTTGTTGTTAGGTGCTGTCGAGTCAGCTCTGACTTGTAGTGACCCTATGTGACATAAAACGAAACCCTACCCGGTCCCGCACCGTCCTCACAATCCTTGCTATGCTTGAACCCATCGTTGCAGTCACTGTGTCAATCTATTTCATTGAGGGTCTTCCCTTCTTTGCTGACCCTTCACCTTACCAAGCATGATGTTCTTCTCCAGGGAATGGGCCCTTCTTACAACATGATCAAAGTAGGTGAGATGAAGTCTGGCCATGCTCGCTTCCAAGGAGCATTCTGGGTGCACTTCTTCCAGGACAGATCTGTTCATTCTCTGGCAGTCCATGGTATTTTCAATACTCTTCACCAGCATCAAAACTCAAACGCAGAGATTCTTCCTCAGGCTTTCTTATTCATTGTTCAGCTCTCACATGCATATGACGCTATTGAACAAACCTTGGCTTGGGTCAGGCACACCTTAGTCTTCAAAATGACATTTTTCCTCTTTGACACTTTAAAGAGGTCTTTTGCATCAGATTTACCCAGTGCAATACGTTGTCCAAATTCATGACTGCTGCTTCCGTGAGCACTGATTATGAATCCAAGGAAAATGAAATCCCTGACAACTTCAATCTTTTCTCCATTTATCATGACGCTGCTTATTGGTCCAGTTGTGAGGCTTTTTATTTTCTTTATGCTGAGGTATAGTCCATACTTCAGACTGTAGTCTTTAATCTTCATCAGTAAGTGCTTCAAGTTATCTTCACTTTCAGCAAGCAAGGCTGTGTCATCTGCATATAGCATTTATTAATGAGTCTCCCTCTCATGCTGATGTTGTTGTTGTTGTTATGTGTCGTCGAGTCAGACCCGACTCATAGCGACCCCTCCTTGGGTTTCTGAGGCAGTATCACTACAGAAGTAGATTGCCCCATCTTCCTTCCGAGGAGTGGCTGGTGGGTTTGAACAGCCAGCCTTCTGATTAGCAGTCAAGTGCCTTAGGCACTACGCTACCAGAGC